TGCCAGGTTGATCAAGTGTGATAAATCTGTGGTGGCTGCTCCTGACTGCCTGTTTGACCTTCATATTCTGGAAATAGCTTCTAGATCTATTTGCTCCACCACTTCCAGGGACTCAGGTGAGGCTGACCAGCCTCTAGTTTTCCATCTCCTCTTCTAACCATTCTTGAAGTCAGAAGTGACATTGGCTTTTTTCCTCTCCTTGAGAACCTTCCTCTTCATTGCCACAACCTTTTGAAGGTTATCAAGTGTCCTCAAACTCCATCAAGCAGTTCCCTCAGCTCTTGTGAGTGCCACCCATCAGGTTCCAGGGACTTGTCAGGGTTTGATTTATTCAAATATTCCCTAACCTGATCCTTCTCCAGTGACAGGAAGTCTTCCTTGCCCTGCATTTTACAATGACCTCAAGTGCCTGGGGTTCCTAAAGGCAAATACAACCAGTGAAGGCTGAGACCAAGGTGGCATTGTCAGCTTTCCCATGTCCTTTGTCACCAAGTATCCTGCCTTGGCCACACCTTTTCCCTAGTCACCGTTTGGCTGCTTAGTTACCTTAGAAACCTTTGTTGTTGAACCTTCATATCCCTCTGTAAATCCAATTTCCGGTGTGCCTTGCCTTTCAAAACAACACACCTGCATATTCTGACAGTACCTCTAAATTCCTCTGGGACACCTGTCCCTTCTTCCACCTCTTGAACAATTCTTATGCATAATTCTTACTTATTTATCCATGCAGGCCTATTACCTCTGCTTGATCTCTTCCTTGTTGGAAGGGACAATTCTTGAGATCAGAGAAGGTGATCCTCAAAAATGGGTCAAAAATATATGGAGGTTTCTTAAGACGTTCATTATTTTTGATGGATGATCTAGCTAGGCAGTCACCTCAGCTGTTGTGTAACAACATAAATAAAGGCTCACCAGAGCTTCCAGAATGCCTGCAAGAAGACTCTCTGTGTTGGACTTGATTTTGAGACAGCTGTCACACACAACAGTGTTTTCCTTTCTCAAGATCAAACAAACTCCACAAATCCTGGGTTTAGAGAAGAGGGTCCCACCTCTGGTTAGCAGGCTGCAGCTTTGCTGTAGTTTCTCCAAGACAATTCTGTTCACTCAGGCCATTGCCTGTGTGACTTTCACAGCCCTTTGTCTCACCCAGGTCTCACTCTGGGCAAGTCAGAGTTCTGCAGCAGGAGGGTGGTCACTGTAAATGAGCCTGGGACACCTGACCACAGGTCAAGCAAGGCAGAGCCTGTTGGGACTGCACTCACTGTGGCCCATCAAGTCACCATTACTCAAATTCCATCTCTGGCCTTCCTTACCCTGCTCATTCAGTTCTGTCTTTGCACTGTAAACAAAAGCTCTTGTAAAATCTATGGGCAAGCTTTTGGAATAGATGCCAACAGCAACACAACACTGCTAGGAAGGGTCAAAGCAGGGTCTATCTACGTGCACTCATCTGTACCTCCTAAAACTCCACCCAGGTAAAGGAGGACAGTCCTGTTCTCTCTGGAAATGGATCCCTTCACACTGACATTTCCCCACTTGCACTCCCTGCAGAGAGCACAGCGGCCACAGTGCAAGGGGCCACAGGCTCAGCAGGGCTCAGCTGGGTTCATTCAAAGCACCCTAATCCCTACACAGACCCTCTTTGGGGAAGGAACTGTGAAATTCCCCAGTGTGTTATATCCTTTTCCCTTTTGCTCTTCATCCTGACAGTGTGATTCTCCTGGAAGAACAGAGCAAGTGCTCTGCAGCCCTGCCAAGAATCAGTTGAGGAACTGGGGGTGACATTCCCCTCATCTTTTGGGACCCTCTGTGCCCAGGGGTATCAGCTGGCACAGCTCACAGACACAGGGTCTAGGTCACTGACAATTTGAAAAGAAGGAAAGACAGAGGCTGAAGCTCCAAAGGAGTCTGGGCACTCCAAGCATCACCTGCCTTGGAAGTCTCCCTCTCCTGAGACCCCCAGCAATTTCATTTCTGTTGCCCAGCTCCTCTTCCAGCCTCATCCAGGATGATTTATGGTTGGCCCTTAATGATGAAGGCCCTAAGCAGAGCCTTGAATCTCTGCTACATGGTCAGTCTCTGCCCAATCCTGACCTTCCTTCCCCCTTCTTTCAAGCACCAGCTCAGGAACAAAGTGATACTTTCTTGCAGCTTTCTTTGTTTTTCATCATCTTCCTGGTCTCCAACACTGCTCTGTATTCAAACATTATCTTCTGCCACCATCTACCCACAGCACAACCAAAACCCATTCCAGCTCCCAGATGCCCTCCCAGGTAGATGATATTCCCTCCCATCTTGATGTATGTGCATGACTTATCTTGCTTAGAGCAGAATTATTCTACCTGCAGCAGGCAGGGGAAGAGGGAACAGGTTTTCTTCTGGCTTGCTCCTTTCCTTTCTTGCTGCTGTTTCCACTGGTCTAGAAGTTGATACTGAATTCTCTAAGGGAGGCCTAAGCTCATTCAGCAGATATGGAGAGTCCATTGCCTTCATGAACACCAGTTAATACATCAGAAAGGTCATGCTGACAGGCTGCAAGGCTGCTATCCAGCTCTTGGAGACCTTACCAGGCTGTGAGGGCAGAAACTCCTTCCAACAAGTGCCATCAATGTTCCTTCTCAGGTATGGGATGCTGTGAGGTACAGAAGGTTAAATACCACCTCTGTTAAATGCCACTTTGCTCCTCTGCTTCCACAACTCCCTGCTTTAAAATTGCTGCAAGCCCAGAACTCTTTTGCATTAAGTCATCCAAGGCCATCATTTTTCTCTGCTTGCAAGGAAATCACTTTTTGGATGTAGCTTTGCCAGTTATGTTTTCAGAGGTACTTCTGTTCCTTCCAAGCTAATTTTGTGAGATACACTGCCTGGGTCTATAGTTGAGCTGTTAGAAATATTGCAATCAGTTCTTCCCTGGAAATTAATTCTAAGCTTGAGTTCTCTGCCCTCAGGCAATCTGCTGCCTGTTGCATCATTACAGGGATGTGCACGTGTTGCAGCTCTCTGAGCATCTCCACTGGGTTTCTTTTTCTATTTTCAACATCTCTTATTCAGTTGTTATTCTCATGAATTCTCTTACTGGTTTCTCTTGAAGTGGTGCCACATGGTCTTTTGTCCTTCACCCTTCTGTTTGTGCAATGAGTAATTTCTGCGCATCATTGTGTAATTTACTTGGGATCACTTCTCTAATCCAAGGATGCCATTCAGAATTCTGTATTCTAACATACAAAGTGATTCTCAGGTATATGCAGTTAACAGCATATGGTTTTGATTTTTTTTTAATGAAAAAATATTTTAATTGAAAAAATAAAATAAATCAACACTCTGCAGTGTTAAAAAAACAAAAGGAAAATAACTTTTTTTTTTTTTTTTTTTTGCCAGAAACGTTTTCAAAAGCTGATTATTCTGTGAAAGAAAGTGTTAAATTTCTGAACCACTCTAGTAATCCTACTCAAATGGAACTTCAGTTTTGTTCTTTCTGGAGGGAGTCCCGCAGAACCTAAAATGACCTTTCTGCAGAATTTAAAACCTCTTCATCACATTCTTTTCATGTGATCTTGATTAATTTTTTTACTCTGAGTAGCACAGGGAAAAAAGAGTACGGTGAATGAAGATGCTTTGAGATCTGTGCCAGAGATGTATGAAGGAAGTGGAATGTGCTTCTGTGATACGTAACAGGAATTAGATGTAATTTCTCATTCTTTTGAAAAAAGTGTTTCCACAGTGTTTGTTTGTTTACTTAGAAAATGTCGTTGTGGATATGTCAATACACACAGTGTATTCCAGCAGCTGGAGTTACTACACTGTTTCTGCCTTCAGACACTGCTGCGTTTTGTTCAATAGCCTACTGTATAAATAAAAAAATTTAAGTAGCAGCTGTGCAAAAAGGGTTTGGGGGTCCTATGGACAAGTCATATATGAGGCAGCAAAGGGTCCTTGCAGTGATGAAAGTGAAGGCTGGGCTGCACTAGGACAATTAGAGCCAGCAAACAACAGGGGCATGATTACTGCCCTCCACTCTGCACTTGTGGGACCATCTGGGATTCTGTGCCATGTTTTGGTCCACTCAGACCAAGAGAGAGATTGACAACGTCAGGAGAGCACATAAAATTTATTCCTGTTGGAGTCACAGGAATTGGAAGTAGAAGAAATTGCTTGGACTATCCCACAATCCCTATTTTTACCTTCATTTCATTTAGGAGGTGCAGTGCAGGATACAAACTAAGTTCATGTGACCAGGAGCCAAAACAACTGTACCACGTTCCTGCAGGAAGTACGTTCTTCCTTTGACGTACTGGGTAACTCAGGCACTTCAGTCACACGTTCAGCCTCAGGTACTTGTGCAGCAGCGACTTCTCAGCTCAGGCAGCTTCCCAGCAGCTGCTGTCCCCAGGAACTGGCTCGTTGCGTTTTAACCAGTTGCTTTGCTGATTATGCTTTACAGTTATAAATACAGTAATAACAAATCTCATGACAACAGATTTATCAGATTTCCTCGAAAATAACTTCAGCCTCCTCACAGCTGATTTCCTACCCGATCCTCAAAGGAATCCATCTGGAAGGAAGCTGAGGGTGCAGATTAGAACGCTGGAATAGAGGGACAGGGGTGCTGCCGCTGCCTGGTGTGGGAGACGCTGGGTGGGCAGGAGTCGCGTCTAAGCCCAGGTAAGCAGGAGCAGTTCCCACCTTCTTCCCCATGAAGGAAAAAGAGGAAATGAGGAAAAAAGAGGACTACGCAGGTGCTGTCGCCGAGCTGACCCTGAGCCCTGCGTCCCCTCTCTCCTCCCCGGGCCCAGAACGCGCGGCTGCTCTTGGCTTCTCCTTCAAGCATGAAGGGCTTTGCCGTCCGCCCGGGCCGGCGCTGCCCGCAGCGCAAAGTGCAGGGGGCGGTGCCGGGGCTGCCCCTCACGGCCGCGGCCCCTCACGGGCGCTCCCCGCGCTCGGGCGGGCCGGCACGGCGGCTCTGCCCGCCCCCGGGGCAGCGGGAAGGGGCGGCCCCGCCCCTGCCCTCCCGCCCCTTAAAACTCCCCGTTGTCCTGGCGGTCGGGAGGTAGCGGATCCTGCGACGCGGGATGGAGGGGGCAGCGGGACAGCCGCGCTCCCTGCGCAGAGCCCTGGCCGGACCCCCACCCCAGGAGCTGCGCGGCTGCTCCCCGGACCCCACCCCCAAGGCCGAGGCGCGAGTGCTGGTCATCAACACGGGCGGCACCATCGGCATGGTGCAGGACGTCAAGGGTGAGGGCCGGCGGCGGGGGTGTCGGGCTGGCCGTGGGGACGCGGCCGGGGCTGGCCGTGGGGAGCGGGGCTGGCTGTGGGGATGCGACCGCGGGGACCCGGCGCGGTTTGTGGTGCAGCATCGCTGCTGTGAGCGGCTCCCTGTAATCCCCGGCTCCCATCCGCTGGATCACCCGGTCGCTCAGCTGATGGGCATCCTTGTGAGCGTCACAGCGAGCGGCAGCGGCTTTTGGCAGAGCACAACGTGTTTCCTGCAGCGTGAGTCTTTTCTGCCCTACCTTGCGCACTAAAAATGAAACCGACTTCGTCGCGCCAGTCATGCAGGCTGTTTTTAGCCCTAAATGAGCCACTGTCACCGGCCGCCCAGAGAGCGTGTGCCTGGCATTCCTGCTGGGAAGAGCGTGGGCCGCTGGAGCTGGCGGCCGTGACGAGGATTTTCCAGTGGTGACCTGGCAGGCGCAGCGGATGCGAGTGTGGCAGCTGCCCGGTGTCAGGATGGGCGAGATCGGATGCAGTGCCAGTCTTGGGACGGGTTTCTGCTGCTCTCCCACCAGCTCTTGGCTTCTTTCATGAAATCACTGAAGAGTTCTGCTTTGGCTTACCTCACTGAGGGAGGAGGAGACTTGATAGATATGCCAAATTTGATATGCCTAACTAGATATGCCAAACTCTCTCCCTGCAGCTGGAAAATGTTTACATCCAAAACTGAACACTGAGATGTGTCAGTATAACACCTGCATTTTATCTGAAGGCTTCTTAGGTACCTACAGGTATATGCTGTGCGTTTTTAGGTGCCCCTAAATGTCAGCAGATAGGTGCCCAAACTCAGCTGACACCTGCACAGGCCCCCAGTTTAGCAGATGGTTGGAGTGGCACCTAAGCATCCCTCGATCATCACTCCGTAGGCACAGATCCCAAGGGATAAAGAAACATCAACCCATTAGTGTGTTTGGGGAAAAGATGGATTTCAGTCAGGTCTGACTTGCTGTAGGGCTGTGTGCATGCCAGCGTTGGATTAAAGGGAAACAAGGTAACATAAGGAGTGGGAGTGAGAGGGAAACAGTCCCATTTTGGTGAATACCTGCTTAATTTCTTTCCTCCTTTACTTGGAAGGCAATGGAGCATCCCCGGGCTTCCACAGCTTGTGTCTGTCTAGACTCAAAAACATGGGTACTTGTGATCCCTACTACGGAGTTTTGTGCTCCTGCCTGAAATACTGTCTCTGCTTCTTATTGTGTTCTTAAAACACTTGGGGCTTCACCTTGGAGCTTCCTAGACTTGATTTTTTTTCAAATACATGCCCTTTCTTCTCAGGAGAGGGTGATTGGCTGATCCTTATTATTGTAGTAAAGATGCTATAAGGTGTTCTTTGTTTTTTATGGCTGTCATCTTTGTTTTTAATCTGTCAAAGTTGTAAAAAAAATTTCATATTTCCATATTTCAAAGCCATGTGCTGACTTGCTTTCTCAGTTTGCATTGTTTATACTGAAACCATTTCCTACTTTTATTGCCTCAGCTTTCTAAATTCCTCTTTTAAGTGAATAAATTGTAATCACGTGTCACGTTCTTTTATGAATGAACTTTATAACCTCTTCTCATCTTGTTTGTTCTCCTTTTGCTTAACAAGTGTCAATCATTACAGCATGTGCAAACAATCTAACAGTTGTGATCCAGTGATGCTGACTTGCTGCATCCTGTGGGGGGTTCTGACCTGCTTTTCATACCCACATCTAGCTGCAGAGCAGCCAGAGTACCTCTTTCAGAATATTTGGCAGTCTTTAGTGTTCAGAGAGAAGCTAGTGAAAGGGCATGGGAAAGGCAGCATGCTTCAAGGGAAGATACAATAGATGCTCATTTCTTTTATTTATCAGTGGATGGAAAGTGCCTGTTTACAACCCTTCCTAGAACTACAAGTGTTTTACTTCAAGCATGGTGAAGAGAAGTAGTTCAACTCCAGCACATCTTGGAAATTCCTGTTGGAATTTCTGCACACCTACATTACCTGTGCAGGAGTTATTTTCAGAGGAGGAATAGTCTGTTTCAGTTTATGTGACTTGGATGACAACCAGACTCAGGTGCAGACTCTCTCAGCATTCATGTTTTTGCTCTCAAGCCACTTCAGTGCCTTTTTAAAGCTTCTTACTCCTACTTATTTCCTCCTACATTAGTTTCTTTTGGCTTATCAGTAGCTCATTTCAGGAAGAGAACCTTACTGCACTCCAGAGTGAGGTTACTGTGATAGTGATCTTTCCATCAAGTTTGTGCTGGTGCCTTCAGGAAGATCTTTTCCTTGGGCATGTGGCCTAGGTCTCTTTCCTAAATTTTACCTGTAATGAAGAAAAAAAACTCCAAAAAATCCAAGTAGAACTAAGATAAACACCCTTAGAAAGATTACCTATCTTGGAATAGTCTACTTAGGTAGCTTAGTTATTTTTGTATCTTTTTTAGACATACTAGATTGCCAAAAGACTGGCTGCTGTAGTCCACACCTTTCCCTGTATGAAATCTTTGTACCTCACTTGTGAAAGCTCCAAGTAACATAACTGCTGCAATTAATATTTTTAATATTTTTGCTCCCTGTTCTCTGCAGCAGCACAGGTTGCAGGATATCTTGTTTGGCAGGTAGCTATAACTGTGCTATCTACAGCACCAGAGTGAAAAGCAGAGTCCTGGACTGTAGGTGAGACAAAACCCTGATTGTGCTCCTTGGCCACAGGTGCCTGTTTGCCATTGTGCCTTTGTCCACCTGCTCTGTGATGCCAGGGCTGGCCAGCTGACAAGGGACAGGACAGAAGGTGGTGACAGCTATTTGGACAAGTCACCCAGCCTGCCTTTTCTCTCCAGGGGTGAAGTTGCTTCAAATACTTTGTCAACAAGCTTGGCTCACAAAAGCTGTTTTCCATGTGTAGTGAAGTAGAAGTGTTCTTAAAACCATTGCACTTGAGTTCCCCTGTGTTTGCTTCTTGAAGCTGTAATAAAGCAGAAATCACTGCTAGATGTGGATGCATGTGAGGGGCTGTCTGGGTTGCAAGTGGGTCATCTTGGGTACATCTGCAGAATGCCTTAAAAAAAGTTTACATTCAGTGCAAGCAATTACAGAAAAATCCTGACAGATTTGTGATTAAGAGATGAGGAGCTGCTGTTTATAGAGAAGGGATTAAAGAACATTAGCTTACATCAGCTCTCCAGTTCCTGTGGCAAATACAAAAAATAAACAGTCTAATCCACTGTCAATATTCAGAGCAAGATGAACACTGGACAAAGAGAAGAATAATCAGAAAACACCCAGGAAACACTTGAAACTGGGCTGCATTTCTGAGCCAAAATGACTCAATGCCCAGGCACAGCAGAAGTGGCCATTTGTGACTAAGCTAGGAACATCCTTAATAGGAAAAGCAGGGATTATAGCTGAATGAATGAAACATCCAAGGCTTGAAAGTGTTTTAAGTATAATTTGTAAAACAAAGTATTCTGGCAGTAATCCAAAGAAATCCACTCAAATGCTGTTGCTGTCCTGTGAGGAAGTTGGCTATGAAGAGGCCCCCTTCTTAATTTAAGGCAAGCCAGGAGGGAGATCAGGGAGTTCTTAAGGATTTTTCCATCAGCTTGGAAAGTAAATGGAGAAATACTATTGAAAATATTCTCTGGGGTTTGAGCATTTGAAGTAAACCGTGCTGTTTGAAGGTGAACCAAAAATAATTAGAGGTGCTAACTTGGATGAGAATCATGTTTAAATAATCAGAACTAGGAAATAGGAGAGAATTCCCTGGCCTCAAATTAGAAATAACTAGAACTAATAAAATAATGAGTTTTAATGGTTTGTTTGTCATGTGTGATGATATGAAACACTGAGATTAAATTGAATTTGATGGTAAAATCTTGAAGTCCAGAAGGAAGTACCTCTGTTGGATGTTCCCTGTAAGAAAACCGTCTCAAGAAGTCAGACTTCAGAAAACCAGGGTGGCTTCTGATTCTGGATGCCAGGACTGTCACTGTCATTCCCAGGGCATTGGGAGAGGAGTTGCAGGTTGGGTTCACAGGTGAACTCAGCTCTGTGGTGCTGAGGACTGTAACATCACAACATTAGTGCCTTACTAGCTAACAGAGAACAACATGCAGATTCCCTTTGAAATACCTGCTTGCAACCAGGACACCTGCAGCCCCACCAAACACTGAGCAGTTCTTAGGTTAGTTTAAACAGCATCTGTTTTAGGGTCCCTGCCACAGATCGACCCCATCACAGGCAAGGAGAGGGAGAGCAGAGTTGGAGATGCATCCATGCTTTCAACTTTTTCTATTCAGAGGTTTAGGCACCTTTTTACTTTTTGTCAGTTCAGATGTTCAGTCTTAAACCTGCTAGTGGAAAGTACCTAGTATATATCACAACTGGGTGCTTTTTAAGTCTTTTACTACTATTACTAAGTAATGATAGCTATGGCAGATGTGAAAGAGAATGGTAGCTTTCTGCTACAGTTGCAAATTGGCTTCCTGGCCCTGCTTCTGAGAGGTATTTGCAGACAAGCAACAATGAAAAATAGGGGAAAAGCACAAATGTTTGATGTGGAGGAGATTTGAAACACTATTTCTCTTAAATAATGGATTTATCTATTTCAAGTCAAGAGAAGAATAGCTGCATGAATATTTATTGGTTATGTTCATTTTTCACAGCTTTAAACTGGCAATAGACTGTTTAATTTGGAAAGATGGGCAATCTGCTGTGTAACTTGTCTTCTTCCCTCCTTACTGTGCCACTCCCTTCCTTCCATCCCTGCTCCTTTATTCACTTCCTTCATTGCCTGTTTTGAAGGGCTTGCTCCTGAGGCCAATAAATTAGTGAGCAGTTTGAAGACGATGCCGATGCTGCACGACGAGGGGTACGCGCGGGAAACGGGGCTGAGCAACGGCCACGGGCTCCCTGAGAACACCCTGGTGCTCCCGTAAGTACTGAGGGGGCAGCAAGAGTCTGCTGCTCTTGAATTCATTACATCTCTAGACATGTGGCATGAAGGATCTGTAATGAGATTAGCAAAAATGCTTGTATTCGTTTAAAAGAAAAAAGTCCACCATGTTTGATGGGATGGGAAATAGGTGTTTGGATATGTTTGCAATGAAATTCCTTAGAACTGCTTGAGAAATAAATTAGCAAACTAGTAACCATTCTGGGCAGTCTAATCCTAGAAAATATGTTTTTGGGTATATTTGCAATGAAATTCCTTAGAACTGCTTGAGAAGTAACTTTCATTAGGTATTGGAATATGAATCCCAATATAACCAGTTAGATGGTGCCTGGGCCAGTTCTGACCCTCGCTGCTGGGCCAAAGGCGGCACGGTGGTGTTTTACCCCAGAGATACCTTGGCTGCTGGAGTTTGCAGCAGGGCACTGAACAAGTCCAGGCTTGTCAGGAACTCCGTTTACCTCAGGAGAGAGAGCTTCTGGCGATGGTGAAGAGAGAAAGGAGTGGATTCTGCTGGAGGGTTATATCCAGATGTTTATTCCATGGTTACAGAGGTCTGAACCGGGGCAACTGCTCCAACAGAATTCCGGCCGCATGGTCTGATTCACCTTTTAAGCTCGGGGACAGGGGAAGGGAAGGGGACAGGTGAGCCACCAACCAGGTGAAAGGGGCAGGGTCTCAAGGGACTGGGGACACCTATACGGGCCAATGTCCCCCAGGCCTGAGGAGCATCCTTTGAAATCAACCAACCACACGACGCCTTGCTGGAATGTTAAACCTGATTGACAGGGCACACTCAGCAAGAGGCGAGGGGGAAGGGAGAAGGGAATATTGGCACACCTGAGAAAGGGACCCGGAAGCTAAAAACACACCACAACAATTAGGCAACAAGTAACCATTCTGGGCAGTCTATTCCTGGATTTTTTTAATGTTAATTTGCTGCTGTGCAAACATGCAAGTATTCTACAGAAACTATGAAAACTATATATACCTCCATGGGAATCATCTTCAGCATATGTCTGAAAAAGTAGCATGTAATTAATGCATCTGTGAATAGGCCTCGTGCTTTAGTTCTGCAGCCTTCTGTTTTTAAAAGCCCTAAAAGCTGATTGTTTTTCCCAAATTTATGCAACATTATGATAATAAGCAATGGGCTTATAATTAATCTGCACTGCTTCTTAACTGTTGGGCAATGGTTAATCAGCTTATAGGTTTTATTTAGAGGGCAGTATGATAATATCAAATATTCCCTAACTGTGATGAATTACTGCACCCCTGTAAACATGCTAACTTTGCACAAACAATGATTTTACACAGTTGTTCAAAAATAAATGGGACCATAGTTGGTTTTCTACATGAGTAAAAATGGATACTCATTAATCTTTATGAAGAAAACCAGGATATTCATAGAAAATTAGAGGTTTATGATTTTTTTTCTACTTTGTATTAAGGTCTCTATAAAACTTTTAAAAGTAACCCCTTAAAAGGCAGATAGCAGGAAAAGGAGTAAAGGAAAAAACTAATGGACACCTGGGTGCAGTAGTATTTATGTGAATATACAGTTTGTGTTAAATATGATGCCTACCCTAAGAAAAATTGAGCTCTATTGTGACATGGTGCTTGAATAACTTTTAAATACTTAAGGGACTTAAGGGATTAGAAACATAACAAAACTAGACTATTATATCTGTACGAGTCCTGAATATACTTCTCTTGGCACATCTTTCCCTGAAAACCAGAAAAGCTTAAAACAATCCTTCACATAAAAAAACCTGAGGTTTAAAAACTAAACTTGTCTTGTTTTTCTGGCACTGCTGAGTGCTCTTTCTGGAGGTTAGTTGTGGCAGTTTGCCATCTTGTCTTTTGTGCTAGCCAAGTGATATTTTAACTAGGTGGTTGGGAAATATTGTGACTTCCTGAGGGGAGAAATTTTTGTGAACTTTGTATATCGGTGTGTAACGTCAATGGAAGAGGAATGACATGATCTCTTTTTAGAGAGAGGCATCAGAAGCTGAAGCCAGGGCTGGTTTCTGGTATCAGGATGTCATGTTTTATTCAAACAGCACATTCTCAGGAGAGCTTTTGTGTCACAGATTTTCAGCTGACTTCCACAGCTACTCTTAGCATGTGTAAATGTGATATCCAGCAAGGCAGTTTTCCATGTGAAGTCTGACTTCATAGGTACAGGATGTCAGTTTAAACACGTTGTTTAAATGCTCTCTCTGCTGTATGCACCAGGCTTAGAGGCTTCATGGGGGAATGAGTCTACAGATTTTATTAGAAGTCTCAGGTGACTTGAAAAAGGGAAATACTACACCCAACTTCAAAAAGGATAGAAAATAAGCTCATGGGACCCACTGATCTGTCAACCTCCCCTCTGGGAGGGGAAGGGAAAGTCACAAAACAGATCTTTCTAGAAGCTCTGCTAAGGAACATGGAGGACAGGAAGGTGATTTCAGCTAGCACAGCTTACTGGGACTTCCTGTGAAACTTTTAATGTGGTCCCCTACAACATCCTTCTCTAAATTGTAGAGAGATGGGTTTGATAGGTGGATTGTTCAGTGGATGAGGAATTGATTGGATAGTTACAGGCAGAAGATGGTGCTCAATGGCTCAGAGTCATGATGGACATCAGAGACAAGTGGTATTTCTCAGGGGTTCTGTACTGGGACCAGTGTTATTTAATATCTCCATTAATGACAGGGATAGAGGGATCAGGAGCAGCCTCAGCAAACTTGTAGATGACACCAAGCTGAGTGGTGCTGTTGACACCCCTGAAGGGTGGGATTCCATCCAGAGGGACCTGGGCAAGCTCAGGAGCTGGGCCCATGTGAATCCCATGAGGTTTAACCAGACCAAGTGCTGGTGCTGCACCTGGGTCAGGGCAGCCCTGGTGTCCATCCAGGCTGGGATGAACAGATGGAGAGCAGCCCTGCCCAGAGGGACTCAGGGGTGCTGGTGGATGAGAGGCTGCACATGCCCAGCAGTGTGCACTCTCAGCCCAGAAACCAGCCATGTCTGCCTCCCAAGTTGTATTTATTATTACATTAAATGTAGGTATTTATGCTTCAAACTACATCAACTCATGAGCTTCTAAACTTGGAATTTTATTTCCAGATTTAAGACATTTTCCACCTAGATTTGGGGGAGGAAAAGTGTAAAAACTACTGATTTAAAGAAAAAATCAAAAGTGATGAGTTGATATTAATGTTAAGGGTTTTTTTTTCCAATTCTCTTTCTTCTTCTCTTTCTTCATAGTCTCTCCAAGCAAAACAAGAGAATTTTTTACACAATCCTTGAGCTCTCGCCGCTGCTTGATTCTTCCAACATGACACCAGATGACTGGGCCAAAATTGCAAAGAAACTTGAGGTACAGTGATGTGGGATAAGAATTAATTTTTCACTTAGACAAAACCAGCAGTATATCTAGTATACTTAGGAAGATAAAACAATTCAGTAGCCCTATAAATATGTATTTGTTTCTTTAAGTGTAAAGTACCTTAATTAGTGACTTGCAAAGTAAGAAGTACTGTGCTTGCAAAGTTTGCAGAATTTTTATTTCATTTGAAAATGTTGTAAATTCATTAAAGTTGCATCGTTCTTCCAAGGATGAGCCATGCCATAATTCCATACAATAAAATAAATTTGCAGCTGTGATTGAGTAAGGTGTGGAATATGTAGGTTGATGTGTCCTAAAACATTGACTGAAATTCACTGTCCAAAAATGTTGAATAAAATCCTTAGGTGTGGGTAACTTAGCTGAAGGTTGCTTAGTTAGTTACACATCATTTGAGTGTTCAAATAGCTTAATAGTTGGCTATTGACATAGAAAATAATTTGATGTCTTTATGCATTTCTTACTCTGGGCATACATGGACTGGACTAGCTTCAGCTTTACAACCAGTAGAAAAAATTGCTGCCATGGTTGGGTTTCCCACAGAGGAAATGTGTAAAGTCCTAGATATTTCTGCATAAATAGATAAACTCATTACATCCTTCTCTAGAATAAAAAAAAAAAAAAAAAAAAAATCAGCATTTCTGTGCTCCTGTCCCTTGTCTGAACTTAGCTGTGTGCTTTTAAAAAAAGCAAAACTGCAGAACACTTTAAATGCTTCACACCAGGAATTCATACATAGCTGACAGAAATAAATAACTGTGGGGCTAGGAAGATACTGCTCTCCCTCTCTGTGGCAGTGAGCTTTATAGTGTAAATTCTCTTCTTCCACCACGCTTAGCAATGCATTGAACAGTTCAATAATGCAGGAAATGCTTCTGAAAGTTCAAGATCCTCAAACCACCAAACTTGGGAGGCTGCTTGTCCTATCAAATGCATCTTGCCCAGGCAAAGAACAGATGGAGCTGGTGTGTACATGGAAAGTCTCTAGGGATGCAGGGATGCAGCTGGGAAAAGCCCAGGGCCAAGAGAAGGCAGCAATCCCATGCTGATCAGGAGAGAATTTACCTTTTTCCCTTGCTGGCATATTATTTTTTATTACAAAGAAACTGGGTTTTTTTCCTTGTACACAGGTTCTCTGGATGCCCAGTTTGTGTAATCCAAATGAAAATTGCTGAGAAGGCAAAAACAAGGAACCCTTTTCAGCTCTCCAGGTTGTGTACAGACACTGCCACTTTGTGTTCATCTTGGACACTTGCCTGCCACAGCTCTAACATGATGATGATTTTCCAGACTAAAACATTCCAAGATGTTTCTGTGGGATATCTCCTTAATTGAAAGCCTGATCTTTTCTATTATGAACCTTATACTAAACTATGTTCTTTTACATCTAATAAGGTTTATAAGACTGAAACTACTTGATTTAGAGAGTACAGGTGGCTATTTCTTGGCCATTCTTGAATCCTCCTTACCTTGTTGCTGCAGCATGGTTTTTGCATCACATTGTAGTTTGGCCTGTAGAAAGACCTTGCAGCACTGGCAGTTGTGTTGGCTCAGTTGTTAGAGATAAACAGAAACCCCCTGAAACTTCCAGTAGGTAGCAACAGGTAGACAGACATGAGTGTCAATGAAGAAATAGCAAAAGGAATGTAGGAACCTACAAATTAGTAAGAAATAGCAAAAGGAAAGTAGGAACTTACAAATTAGTTTGGACATGACCTTATTATCAGGAGGTGCCAAGTGTGTGTGTGCCTAGTGTAACATGAGGAGTGAAATTAAAAAGAAATCTTGTTTAAACTCCTTTTTTCCTTCCCCATGCTGGCACTTCATATATCTGCTTAGAGTTCTGTGTGATCCCTTCCATGTTACTAAGTGACATCAGTGACTCTCCCTGCAGTGTTTGCTGTGTCCATCATTTTTAAAGTAGATAACTTAGCAGATAGCAGATAACTATTGTCACAGGATGAGCAGTGTGATTCATGGCTTTGCATTTGTGAAATTGTATGTGGATTAAAATTTTTATGAAATTGATTTTGATGGTGCATGTGCCTGATAGTGTAAGGGCATTCTCAAAAACCAGCAGATCAAGGTCCATTAATGAACCAGAACCTCTCCCCCAGGTTCTGCTGTGGAAAGGATGGCTTTCCATCAGAAGAGGGCACTCTGACACTGTTGGTTTGCCTGCCTGCCATGGATTAAATGGATTGGTTTTTCGCCTACATTATGATAGCCCTGGTTTGCCTAATCTGTTCCTGTAAATGGTGTAATCCCTAAAGTAAAAGCGGCAACAAGACATCAGACTATACGCCTCATTTGCATATGTTAACATTCCTGTTTAAAGCCATTGCTAAGCTTTTCTTAATTAGGAGTCTTCTGGTTTAAAAAGGCTGCATTAATATGTATACACAGAAGAATCTCTTTGACTGTTCCATAATCAGAATTACTGGCTCTAGTGCTCAGTGTCCGATTAACCCTTAATTGTATTTAAACTGAAACAGGGTAAGTTTAGGAGGAGTTGTGTGTGCAGTAAAGGCATTGTGCTGCTGCCTGAATCAATGAAAGTCATGCCCTGTGTACCTCAGCTGCTGGTGCCAGGGCATTTCTTTAACAGTGTGAAAATTGTCTCTCCACCTGCAGGAGCACTACGAGAAGTACGATGGCTTTGTGATCCTGCACGGTACTGATACCATGGCGTACACAGCTTCAGCCCTGTCCTTCATGTGTGAGAACCTGGGCAAAACTATTGTTCTGACAGGATCTCAGGTAATGGAATCAATGAAGCAAGAATCCTCATTTTTGGTTTTTATATGCAGAACTTGGCTGTATCCTGATGATCACTGTACAGCTTAGCAGTTCAGGCCAGGCCCCTGGCCAGGGAGGATGGTCACAGTGCTGACAGAAATGAGTGAGAAATGATTGTTCACCAGCTGAGGATCTGCCCCATAATTTTATCATTAATGACTTCACAACTCTGTACCAAATCAGAGCAGGAGTTCATTATGGCTGGGGCCAGATGCTTCAGAGAAAAACATAAGAGCCTGTCATTGGCCATTGTGTAGTAATCGGTTTATATGAGAAGCATTTTTCCAGCCTCAGGTGGCCACTGGTTGTCAGCTGTCTTCTTTTCTTTAAAAGCCCTGAAGCTTAGTATTTTTTACTTCATCAGTTGTTATCTCACCTTACATTACTCATTGTTGCATTCTTTATAATTAAAAAAAATGAACTTAAATCATTAGATGCATTTTTGATCATTTCTGTGCCACAAAGCATCTCATATGGTCTGTTTCCTTTTCTCTAAAGACTACATTTATTAATTTTCATTCTCTTAGCTGGAGATCAGCCCTTTGCATATTGTCTGAGGGGGAGGGGTTGTCTTACTAGAATAGCTTGCTTGAGTGTAAAATACTGCTCTAATCACAAAGGAAAGATGAAACATCACGTTGTAAAATTCCCCTCCCCAATCTCATAACTTCCCTTTCACATGTGGTCTATTTGAAGTCAAAATACAAAAGTCTAGGAAGGAGTAGGCTCCCACTTGCTGTCTTGACATGGAGCAGCCTAGTCTGATACATCAGTCAAGGTTTTGCTTTCTTTTTGGTTTTATTGCTTGGAGATCTATCTGACATATGATCCAGCAAGGGAGCATGTGATTTTCTTTTTTAATAATTGCTGAAAGAAGCACTCTCTTTTAATAAAGAGGCAGTCTGAAAAGGCATGGAAATCATCACTCAGCAGACTAAATTTCTGTTTTTAATCTTGCCCTTTTCTGTCAGTAATAACCTGCTAGCTCAGTTTTGCTATGCTATGAGGAAAGATGGTGCAAGAGAGCTGTTGTGAAGCCCGTAGTGACAGTTCTGTATGTTCTCTCTATCATCACTTCTCCTATGCTCAGTCACTTTAAACTATGCCTACTTGCTAGTTTTTATATTTTTTTTGAACCGCTGTTAGTATTGTTAATCACGTTAGAAAAATCTCTGTGTTGGTTTTTAAGCACTTAAATTACAAAATTCTGTTAAGCAGAGAGAGAAGTCTCGCCATCTGCTGCAGTCTAAAATAGTTTGGGCGAAGAAGGAAAACTTTTTTTTGCCATAAATCATTGTTACATAAATTATTCATGTATTTGTATTGCATAAGTTGGACTCATTTTTTCTGCTGTGTGGGCTTTACATAAGGGCCAGGGTGTAATTCCAGTCTCTGTTCTTCAGGTGCCCATTTATGAGCTGCAGAATGACGGCCGAGACAACCTTCTGGGGGCACTGCTGATGGCTGGCCAGTTCGTGATTCCTGAGGTCTGTTTGCTGGGATGACCATCTCAGAACCTGCATTTCTCCCTCTAGGGCACAAACACTCACTAAATATCTGGTAGGCAGTCAGGAATTGTACTTAATCAGGAAGATGAATGGATTCCAACTGAGGTAACAGTGCTTGCATGGCAAAGCACGTGCTGTTCTCACATTGGTCATATTTCATTTGCCCATACACAATCCAGAAAGACTCACAAGTCTGAAATGTACCTTGAAGTATGTTTTTTAACTGAATGTTACCTTGAACTTCTCCAGTCACTGTAGAACTGGTAGGAGTGTCTTCTAGCTGTGTTCCTGAAGATGGAAGTGTCGAGAGTGGTACACCTGGAGGTACCTCCATAGTCTCAGTACCATGCTGTTTGTGCTGTGCAGCTCAAAACTCAGGGAGAAAATGGGGCAGGTTACACCTTATTTTACATCTGCCATGCTTCCAAAGCCAGTTCTTGAAGACAACAGCAACAGCTGACTGGCCAAGATCTTCATAACTGATAACAGCTCTGAGGTTATCTCTCTTTCTTCAAATTGACAAACTTTAATAGACTTGAGAAGGAACATAATGCATGGTAACTTTTGGAAGTTATCCTCATTTTCACCAGGCCTTTTGTTATGTTTTGGACACTGAATTTATATATAACTGATGAATTTATTAAAAAGCTCACACTGTTTCTTTCCTCCATCTCTGAAGTGGACTCAGGCAAATTTGCTGTCTCCTAGAGTAAGCCTCATGAGAGGATTATGAAACTAGTTAGCTCTTAACTTGAACCTAATTTTGTTCTTAAATTCTTAAACCAATGTGTGACAGAAGTGCCAGCACTTTTTGAAAGGGTTAGACTTGTAAACATCTACTAGCCTCTGAGTTGCTTTAAAGATTTAGAAAACACTTCATAAAGGACGGACTACAGTATTTATCTACTGCATCTTTTAATTACTGGCTTATTCATAGACCTGTTTCTTTACTTGTCTTGCAGGTGTGCCTGTATTTTTATAATAAACTGTACAGGGGAAATAGGGTGACTAAGGTGGATGCTGGGAGTTTCAATGCCTTTTCCTCACCTAACCTGCCTCCACTTGCAAATGCTGAGGTTGATATTACAAGTAAGCAACATCATCTCTTAAGCCGTGTAATTTATGCTGCATGCAATAGAACTGTAGCTGAAAAGAACCTGTGCTTGTGTAGTTGAAATGTCGTTTTTAAAGTCAAATATCTTTGAAAGTCCTCTAGCTTGACTTCACTTCATCTGCTCTGAACCTGTTTAAATATTAGTGAGGCTGAGACTTTGTGACTCAACTGCATTTATCTGTTGAATATAGATGTGAGCTAGGCTGACTTTGAGTAAAGATCCAGATTAACCTGAGGGAAGTTTGCCCCTGTGTCAGAAAAAAGCTTGCTCCAAAGATAAAATGAGGGAGTTTGGACTGAAAGAACAAAGAGTTTCATCTCATTAATGACCATGCTGTGCTCTGAAATCGGGGAAAAAAGTCATTGCAGAGTGCTTCCAGCTTCAATAGATTCTCTGTTGCATGTCATTGTGTAAGATGTTTTACTGGATATTTAGGACCTGCCTGAACTGCAAACACACTGATAGCAGCAGACCTAAAAAGGGTTTTTTTCCCCCAAACTTACTCAGGCTCCTTGTAAATTTTATGTGTCTGATTCCTAAGAAGGGGAAAAACTACCTGAGGGTTTCAGTACCATTTGCAAAGTTTTTAAATGTTCTTGGATAAATGACACTCTTGCTTTGGAGAAGAGAGGCACATTTGGAATCTAGCCAAATGAGGAGCTGCCAGCAAGCATACTAAAGTACAGTTTTAAAAAACATGTGAGCTGCTTTTGTATAGAATAGGTATTAAAAAGGAGTAGACTTGGTGACAGTCTCCATTATTAGAAAAAAAAAATGGGAACAGTTTCTGAATTCTTCAGCCAAGTGCCATTAGTGGCAGTAGGAGACCTAGCCCTGTACCATGCAATGTGCCATTCTGAATGGATTCTGCTTCTAGAGAAAGGCACTCTGCAATCTGGAAAAATAAACATCTCCCTTCCACCTAATGACTGGGAGTCATTTAACCAAGTTTCAGGATCAAAGTTTGCCACAGCCAGACACAAACTGAGGAAGCCTGTGAAGTACTGGAGTTGCCTGTAAGACATCTCTCAGGCAGAGAGTGTGCCACTGTTGTGCTGTGTCAAATAGGATGTCTCTGAAATCAGCAGAAGTGCTGTCAGTTGGTTGTTGCAGTAAACCGGGGAGAATCTTCTTTCTTAGGTTTTTATGAACTGCATCAAACAGGGTATGAATAAATTCCGTTTACTGACTGATCAATAATGAAATCAAGCTGCAAATTGCAGGCTATTCCTCTCTTGGATTTGAATGAATTGTTTTGTGATTCCTTGTCTAGAGTAGAAAAATGAGAATGTTATTAAGCACTTCCCTTGGCCCATATTGGGACCCATTATCTTTTCAGTAAATGCCTCATTGGGATCAGTGGGGATTTCTGATTTAAAAACTGATGGTGTGATAGGCTCTATTTTTATTTGCCTCAGTTGATTACCCAGTTAGAGTAGCATCATTTATCCAAGATGACGGTGTCACTATTGAAGGATTGTTTCATTTTGAAAGAACATAGTTTATAGTGAGGGCAATCTACTGGTGCTGCTTTATTTTGTCCAGAGTAATTGTTTGAAACATCTCTGTCTCCCTTGAGTTTGCTTGTACAGTCCTTGCATGAAGCTTTCATGTAGACAAGGAACCACTTGGGTTTTTAAAAACAAACCAAACAAATCTAGCATCTTTTAACTTTTTTTTTTTTTTCCAAATGACTTTATATAATATATCTTAATCCTCCTGTAGACAGGGCTGACTCTGGCTGATTCAGCATTCTAGAGAGCAGCCAGGAGGAGTAGGCCATGTGCAGAAACTCTTCCTCAGGCTCCCTGGTTCTAACAAAGCTGGGAATGAAAATTCCAGGGAAGCAGAAGGGGAGAGGGTGAGGAAGTGGGGAGCAAAGTGGGATCATGGGCTGGTGCACAGGAATAAGACATTCTGTTCATGGCTCAGCAAGGCATATAAAGGCAACAGTCTGCTTCAGAGCTAGAGAGGAGAGGGAGAAGCATAGTCCTCTTCCCTCCCTTACCCTTCCAGTTCTCTGCTTCATTTATGATATCCATTTCTTATCCTGTTCCCTTTTTAGATGAGGCTCCCAGTGGATTTTTAATCCTGTAACTGGCTGTGTTCTCAGCCAGATCCTTAGCTGTGTTAGCAATGCCTAGGAGTTGTGTTACCCAGTTCTAGATAAGAAAGTGCATCGATCTCCTTAGGCCTTTCAACTTAGCACAAGAAAATCCTGTAAGAAATGAAAAAATTCTAGCCCTCTCCTGAGTAAGAAACCCAGTGATGATGGGAAATACTTTTGCAACAGAATTAGAAATCTCTGTATGAAATGGACAGTATGGAAATGGTAAGAAATATTTCTAAAATCTCGAAGCTTATCAGGTAAAATACATTACCTGATTTCTCCTATATTTTGAAAACAGGAGAAACAAGGAAGACTGTTTCTCTTGAGATCTGTAAAGATTCTCAGTATATTTTGTAATTAATTGCTTTATTCTTGATTGTTCTAATGAAGCACACAGGAAATTTGCTTTGTTTCTGTGGCTGGAATTATTTCATCCCACATGCATGTAACTTCTGGAGTGGTGCACATGTGTGGGACCATGCAATGAAAGACAACCTGTGCAGGGGACAGAGCCTGTGGGATTGTGTGAGCAGATGTGGCACAGCAGCACACAGTCAGAAGGCCCTTTTGGGCTCATCTACCCACAGATCTCATTAGAGAGAAGCTGTTAGGCACTGGCACAGTGTGCATCTTGGTTGGTTATTTATATAGAAAGCCCAGGTCATTTGTGTGTGAAGGCATATCCCAGCTCTCTTCACTGGAGTGCTTCTGATCTCCCTGCTCCCTTCTAAGCAGGCATCTTGGTTGTTGCAATGACACCAGTCAGTTGAAATAGTTCCCAAAGATGTATGTTGACTGTTTTATCACAAACTGCCCAGAAAGGGGGTCTGTGCTCGTTTGCCTCCTGCAGGAGTTTGCAGCCATGGGTTGGCCTGGGCTCCCCACCCCTCACTGCTGGCTGCTGTGAATCACAGGGAACTCTGGGGCAGTTTATATAATGGCAGGGCTCACCCATAGCCCTGCAGAGAGAGATGAGAGGAGGGCACTGCTGTTTGTCTGCAGCTCTGCAATCAAGAAAAGCTGTATTTCTTGTTTGATTTCATAACCTGGAATTCAGTCACCACTCCTAAGGGAGGTGTCACTCTGAGTTGCTGCTCTCCTGTTAGAAGTTGAAACCTGCGCTGTGTTAACAGCAGGGGGATTTTCTGCTTTCTGATCTGTGTAGAGTTACTTTTATTTTAAGTCAGGCTGGTTTTTTTTCTTGCACTAACCCAATCACCATATTTTGTGTTTGTGTGTGAATAAAGCTGCATAAGATAAGGATGCAATTTTTTGGCAGTAATTTGGCAGTATGATACAACCATCATAAAGTCACCCCAGGATAAGAGGCTTTAGTGTTTGGTATGGAGAGGGAGATTGGAAATATCAGACTATTGTTTATGTGATGGTTTGATTTGGAAGAGTAAACAGAAGGCCTTTATATCTTGAATGCAGTCTCCCTGAATAGAGCAACCTATCCCAAGCTATTATGAGTTTAATCTGTAAATAGCCATTACTTCTTTATGTTATGTACACTGCTTTAGAAATGTTCTTTCTGCTGTGCCACACCAGTAGCTAGCTTGTGTTTGTTCCTCACTTTTGCATCCACATCTACATGATGCACTGTGCTGTATCAGTTAAACTCTTCACAAGCACAGGCCGCCCAAGTCAGAGCAGGTTACAGTTTTCTGTGCTGTGCCAAAACTGAGTATCCCTAATTAATCACTCTTATCCATAAGATAAAAAAAAGTTGTGAACACCAAGAGATGCAGTTTTTTGCACTTCACTTGCTTGTATATGAGTTTCTTACTTAAGAACTGTTAGTTGTTCTTATGTTCTTGGGCTCTTTGACTTAACACAAAAAGATTGCTGTGTGACATGACACAGCAAGACAGCTGGTTTATTCAGTACAATGGAGATGCTTGAACTTACCTATGTGAAATAAATAATGTTCCTTTTGGGATGGAGGATGCAAAGGGTGTGTTCTAATTTCTTTTTTCCCCTGCATGGTGTCCTGCCTCACTCACAGCAGTTCTAAGTAAAGCTGAGATTAATTCTATGTATATTTGTTTGGCTTTTGCATCACATTTGCCTTTTGTTCTGCCTTTTAGACTTGTTTGGCAAATGGAAAACTGACATCTGTGGAGTCTGCAGCACCAAACACGTTATGTAGGCTGACGAGGTTCATGACCAAGCGAATGTTAACTCAGGGGAAGGGCAATCTTTATCTTCTTTTTAATATAATTTGGAATTACATCACTATACTATGTCTGCATGCATTAGATTTATCTTGGAGATGTTATTTGGTAGAGCGTACTCCAAGAGTACAGGTATAGGCCTGGTGTAGGTCTGACTTCTGAACCTGTCCTCTGATCTCTTTCCTTGGTCTGCTGTTTTTGGCAGTGTGTTAGTGCTCCATGCCAAGGCAGGTTTCCTCAGCTCATTCTTCAAGTTGGTTGCAGGCATCAGGGATGCTCACAGTTGCCAAACGTAGTAGAATGCATTTGTGAAGTTTTGGCAGGGACTCCTACCTTATGGAGGATGAAAGAAAAGCAAGCTGTGGTACAATTTTATTGCCACCCCTTCTTATAATGGAGGCTGCTTTTAAAGAGTTAACCTATATTTAGAAGGCTTAAGGAATGGATTTATTGCTAAACCGTGCTGCTTCTTAAAGCACAGTGCTCATGTTGAATGTGCTTAGCCAGGCCCATGAACCTCATGCAGAACAAGTACACAGGCTCTGCACTTCTCTGGTTCCTCCTGCAGGTCTCTAAATGGTTCTGGAAAGCTCTTGGAGGCCTTTGAGAGCTACTTGGATAGCTACTAAGCCAGGTGGTTTCAGAATCATGCTGGACAGCTTATCAGAAAGAAGGAAGCTGCAGAAATGGTTTATATTTCTGTTCTCCCACTCCCAGGGCAGTAGGAATCCATGTGCTGAAGTGTGACTGGATGGATAAAAAAATGCCAGGCCAACTGCTTGTGACCTGGTTAATGGATTATGGCAGTTTTTAGAAAGAAGAGACTCTAGTTGCTGGCAGGGAAGAAAAGTTCATAGAGTCTTATAGGAGAATGCTATTTTTTGTCCTGACTTAATGGATTGTGTAGTTTTTAGTATCTCTGGTAGTGTGGCAATAAAGCAGGCTTCAATTGAGGCTTTTAAATTTATTCTTGGTTTTTATTTTTTTTTATTTTTTTTTGGAAGTGGCTGTCTGCTGATTGCAAGAAATTGCAACCATAATTGGTGTGAGTAACTCTCTGCATGGCTGAGAGCAAGTCGGTGTTATGCACGCAGATCTTTTATCTGTCTTGCTGTTTGGGAGTTTCTCCAAAATCTCAAAAACTTAGCTCATGAAGGGAAAGCAGGCAGCTTTACAGCATGATCTGTCTTCATGGAGGCACAATGTGCTGAGCTGTTGGCTGCTGTTTGTGGAAGCTCTTCCCCTGCCTTGTAGGAGCCGTCAGCGTTACCAATGCTGCACTCCTACACTGAAGTAGTAAAATTTTGAAATCAATAATGCATGACTTGGCTTCTAATAATGCAACACAAACAAACTATTAGTTAAACAGCTGGCTTCTGGCTCTAAATGCATAATCAGAGTTAATTGAATCCTTGCTATTTTATTTAATCATTAATAACTACCTAATAGACTCTGGAGGTGATTAGCAGCAACAGTAACTGCATTTGTCATCTCTCACATCTGAGAAGATCAAGGTCTGTTTTTCAAACATGAATCCAGGCTTGTATCAGGCCAACTCCATAACAGTGAAGTTCAGGTCAGTGTATGACAAGTAAATATCTCACCTATGCCAGACCAGCTGCTAATTCTTCTGTCTTAAATGAGCCTTCATTTCCTCTTTAAAAAGTGTGTTGTCTTTCATGAATTCCCTGCCTAAGAACAGTTTTAAAAACAGAGTTTTAAGAGAATCAAGTACTACAAGTGTACTTAATAGCATGTCTTAATATTAAATTAAAAAGGCCTCTTCTCTTAACAGTAAACTGGGAAACGGTTTGGAGAGCCAACACCACAAAGAAATTCCGAGTTCACACCAATATGAACAGGAATGTTGGTCTTCTGAGGATCTTCCCAGGAATCACAGCTGCTGCTGTAAGTGTCCTCACTTCACTTTGGGAATGGCTGAAGTGATGCTCAAATACTTGTAGGAAAGCTGCATTGTTTGGAGCAGTGGTTGGGGTTTGGAGGAAAGGGAAAGAATCTGTCTTCTTCTGATAAGCATTTTTTGGAAATATCAGGGCATTCAAAGACTATTTCCTTATGCCATAAATGATAAAAGGTTTTCAAATATCTTTTTTATAAACTGCTTGGGTTCTGGAACTTAAAATTAATTTCTTATCAGGACTCATAAATAGGTCAAGTGTGGTTTTCTAGACAGCTGCAAGCTACAGTGACTAGGAAAATATTATCCTGGTGCATATTGAGGCCTATTAATATATATCTTGTCAAAGAATAGACAATATGGTGGGTGGAGTGTGATTATTTCTACAGCTTTTTTTTTTCCCAAGGTTCATTTTGTCTCACACTGGTGGTTCACATGACCCTCAGCATTCATACAGAGCTGAAAATGAAAAGTGGGATTTTGCTGCTGAAAATGAGAAGTGCAATTTTTTTGCCTTTAGAAATTATTTTGCAGACTGTGATTTTAGGTAAATTGGTCTTTAAGTTTTTGTCTAATATTAATTCCATTAAATTGACAGGTCTTTTGTGGTTCTTGCCTTCTCAAATTGAATCCAATAGTTTAAGCAGCACTCCCCAATTATATCACTATTCTTTTTAGGTGAATATGAACAGATGGAAAGACAGAGGGGTGGTATATTTGCAATAAAACACCAACTGCATAGTTATCCTCATGGGGGTTTACAGTGTATTGCATTTAGCATATGTGATCAGCAAGGAAATATCTAGGTTGTTGAAAATACATCTTTCTAGGAAGGGGACTTTGCTGGGCATTCTCTGACAGGATTCTCTTACAGTGAGGCACAATATCTACTTCAGTGTCAACTGGCCCAGGGTATATAAGTGTCTCTGAGTTAAATCAATTTGGTTTGGGGTTAAAAAAACTTCATGCTTTGTTAGAATGTTCTTTCCTGAAAGGTGGAATGCTCTGTCTCTTAGGCAGACATTGGTTAACTGAACTCTTTGCTAAAGCAGAAAAATCTGGGCAGGGGTGTGGAGTTCTAATCTCACTTAATAATTCAACATTTATTTAGTGTATAAGTGTATAAGTGTATAGTGTATAAGTGTAACTGTACCTTTTTGTTGCACCAAACAGTGGTGCAACAGTACAGCCCGTTAATAGCACTTGATCAATAGCATCTTTTTTCACATCAGCTAATGACTGTACAAAACAGTTTCTTTTAAAATCTAACCCTCCAGAAATTTTAAAGGAAGCCAGAGAGGAAAAGTCTAATTTTTAAAAAGCTTTTTTTACAGTCTCATTTTTTCAAAAGGAAGCACAGAAGGGTGTAAGAAGACTGTAAGGCATGAGAGTATGTAAGACTATAGCAGGAATAGACCACTTTTAAAAATGCTGTGCCATATGTGAAAATTTTAAGGACAACCTAAACATACCTTTTTTCTCTGTTGCCTGTCTTGTTTTTAACCAGGTCAGAGCATTTCTTCAGCCTCCCATTGAGGGCATAGTACTGGAAACTTATGGCAGTGGCAATGCCCCAGACAAGAGGGAAGATCTGCTGGAGGAGCTGAGGAAAGCGGCTGAACGCAAAGTGGTGATCCTGAACTGCACGCAGTGCCTGCGTGGGGCTGTGAAAACAGTCTATGCTACAGGCCAGGTCATTCCCCACTGCTGTGCAAAACAAACTTCCCACTGACACTGCCTTTAAACTTCCACTAGTCCCAGCCTATAAAACCAGGTTTATGAACTATAAAGTTGTTGCTCATAAAATAACTACATCTGAAATATCTTAAGCTGGAAGCATTTAAACACATATCTATAAACAATATCCTGTTACTCCTGTTCTGAATAGTCAAAAGAGGCAGCTCAAATCCCAAATTAGTGATTGCTCACTCCTGTCATGTGCAGCACTCCAGGATACTTTGCATTAGATCTGTAGTATCTCTCTCAGAGGGATTCTATTGAACTAAAAGCTAGCTTAGGGGTCAGATGATCAAATAGAGTAGTATTTGATAGGATAACAGTTGCTTAGCTACAATGTAGGAGCATGAAGAAAGCCTGTAGATGCAAGCAATATTCCAAATCCCAGTTCTTTATTTGACTGGAAGTACAACTGAATTCAGGGTGAGATTGGAGAACAGTATCTAAGGAATTGTCTGTATTGAAGAATGGAAATCAGTTTAGTTTAACCCACAAGGGCTGGCTTAAAGTAGGTTTTGTGTACATACTGTTAATATTCAGGGAATTTTGTAGTGTGTTTCTACCACAAGTTGTGTTCCAAAACACGACATTACTGGGACTAATAAGAGCTGTATAAGAATATGTGCTGCATATATTAGTGTGAGGGAAGCTGGTTTAACTGGCCTTTAGAAAAGGACCAGATATTAAATAGCCAAGAAGCACTAGCAGAGGGTGACTCATGCCTCTGCCTTGGACACCTGGTTTTGTTGGGAGCAACCACCCGTCTGGCAGAGCCAGCCTCTCCTTTGACTGCCTGGCAAACCTAAATACCCTGGGCTGGTGCTGAAACCTGCCTCTTTTAGCTTTGGTTTTCACACAGCTTTAGATAATATTTGCACAAGGGCTGTTTTGAGTATCCAATACAAATGGATATTCTAAGACTTTCTTTATACCTCATTAGTACCCAAACTTGCTATTTTCTGATTTGGGCAATGATTTGGATGTTGGTAAAACTTTTGCATAACTTTATGGAGATGTTTTGAGAATTAGTGAATTTTGCAAAGATCTTGTGCTTTGTAGCAAATACTGTAGGAATTTGCAGATTATATAGAACAGCTCACTCGGAAGGGAAAAAGCAGTGAAGTCAATAAAAGACACCAAATTTATATTTGAAATTTATATTCATGAAAATGAACCCTAGGTTTTATGTGCCATTCTGCTTGAAATGAACTGCTAAAATTTATGGAAAAAAGAAGGAAACCTCTTTCCTATGCTTTGGTTATAAGATTCTCCAAGTAGACACCTAAAATGGCTTTTTGCACTCTGATCTGGACTCTGGATATGCTGAAAGATTCTGCTCAGATCTTACTGAACCACTTTAAGGCTGTGTTCCCTTCTGCCTGCTATTTTTTATATGGAGTTTGTTCTATGTTGCTTCAGCATCAGTTGTTAGAGGCTGCCCTGTTTTCTTGGCATCTTTTTAGGAGATCACTGACCAAGGCAAGTCCTACAAAATTACTCCACACTTGTTCTTTCACCGCCTTCTCCTTTTCATGAGGAACTGCTCAGTATCATGAGTGAATGCTGTAAAGTCGCTGTAATGTTAATTTTAATTTGATTTTTCTTTAAATGAAGTATTACAAAGGTCTGCATATGGCTGTGCCAGTTTTGACTCATTTGAGCTAGTCAGGTAGGTCAGCTGAGTCCCTGGCTTCCCTTGAAGTGTTTGTTTTAATTAATTGAATGTCTGGCCTCTGATCCATCTACACAGTAGAAACTTGTAACTGAGGGGGCTTTAGGTATAGGAAGGAAGCTGGGAAATCCCTTCCTCCTGCTCTTTCACAAACCCACTGAAAAAGCCCTAACTGTTCTTTGGTTAGCTCTGCAGGACAGAAAGTATTTCTCACCTTCTCTGTATATGGTTTCCCATGGGACTTTAAAAAAATGTTACTCTGGGTCTCCCAGAGGTGGTTAATGAGCTAATTAAGGCTCTGTATCTTGCTGAAAATATTAGTTAAGCCACAACAGGTTTTGAAGCTGAAGCTTGTATACAAGGTATTTAAAAGGAAAATGCTGTGCAAAGAACCTCGTTCATGATGCTTTACTGTGAGGCATCCCATTATGGCAAAGAAGGGGATCTGTGATTTGCCCAGGTACAGTTTAATGACAAGAGATCTGAAATCTCCTTTGTCTTTGCTATCTTGTACACTTACAAGGCTTGCTGATCATAGCAAAGATCCTTCTTCTTTTTGCTTTTGTTCAGACATTTTATTTTTTAACTACCAGAAAGATAAGTTAAAAGGTCATCTTTTTCAGTTGTTCTTGTCAGAACTGTGTAAATTACATATTTTAGTTGTATCTTCTAAATCATACACTGCTAGCACAGCCTGCAAGAATCTGAAAGCACTCCCGCTGTGAGCACGTTGTAGTGCTGGAATTCATCCAAAGCAATGCCCCATAAAAGAATGGTAAATATGTCTGTGTGAGAACAGCCTACTTGGCAGTGTTCAAAATGCCACTGGGTTAAAACAGAGTAACTGCAGCTTTTCAATAAAGGGAATCTGACAACTCTGCAGATAGCTGATACAGACCTGTAACCTTTCCCTTTTAGCATGGTAAGCGACCGTGGCAAGCATTTGGTGGAATTCTTCAGTGCTATTGCAGGAAAAGGAATTTAAAGTAAAAGTCATCTTTATTCAGGTTGCTCTAGTATTTGCTTGGTATTTGATAACTAAAAGTACAAAAATTATAGTGGCAGTAGGAGGAGCAAGAGAGTGGAGGCTTGGCTGCACACTGCATTCTGTGTAGCCACTCATCTTCCAAACACCTTTTCTGCATGTGCAGGTACTTCTGAATGCTAATTAGAATCGTTGTTCCCTTTTATTCAGATTCTTGCTGATGCTGGAGTAATTCCTGGAGGTGATATGACACCAGAGGCAGCCCTAACTAAACTGTCATACACACTCAGCAAGGGAAACCTTAGCTGGGAGGAGAAGAAGCAGGTAAATATTTCAGTGTGACCTTGAAAGACTTTAAGTTTCACATCTACTGTGCTAACTTCTGCTTAGCTTCATGTCTTGAGCTTCTCTTGCATTTAAAAGCAGTTGGTTCCAGAACTGTAATGTGAACAGCCCATGTTTTTGGTTTTTATCTTATGGAAAGTAGTATTAAGCAAACAAATGTATGAAGATAGGGAGAGAAAAGAATTTTCTGCATAAGTCAGGTGAAGACCATAACTGAGCCATAAAAATGCCATGTTAAGTGTTAGGAGTCTAACTTGGACACTTTGTACTGAAAACTCTATGTGGAAGTTCTTATGAGAGACAGAATCCCAACCCTGCTGAAGTCAGCAAAGATCTTGTCACTGATCTTAGTGTGGTGAAGATTTCATCCCAGACTCATTCACACAAAGCTTATTCTGAAAATAAATATTGCCTACAGCCTCTTCCTTCACAGCATTACTCATAACAGTATTAGATTTTATTTCTCTAAGAGGAGATGCACTTTATAATACATAAAAAGTAGAGGATTATTCTAGAACCAATTGTAACTCTTTTTAAAATCAGAGCCCCTTTAAAAATGTTCTTACTGTTCTTTGGTTGCTTAATCAAGGCTTTTTTTCCTGCAGGTTAAATAGCTGTTTACTGTGTTCCCTTAATACAAGGAGCATATAGCTATGAATTAGATAAGGGAGCAGCATTCTGCAGGAATGCATGAATTTCTGTGCTTGGATGTAGTGAAATCTTAATCCTGACACTTTGGGAGATGACATCATGATGAGTCACTCTCCACACTTAACACTGCAGGCACATGTGTATTTCATGATGGTGCTTTGTTTTTATTAAAACCATAACAAACCTGATCATTATTTCATGCTCTACATCTTCCAACCAGTAGCAGCACTTGAGACAAACATATTTGGATAGCTGTGAAGCTAAGTGTAGTGGCTGAAAGTACCACTCACTGTGTTTAGACACAGTTACAGCCTCTGAGCTTGCAGTTGTTTGCTAAAGCTGAGAAATGAGGAGGAACTGTGTCTTTGGTGAGGATGCCCAGAACATGCTCTGTGCAAGGATGTGCCTGGCAGGTGACACAGTGCTGTGAGGAGCAGGGGTGTTAGATGTGTTTGTGTGTTTGTGATGGAGCTGAGAGGGCCATAACACACAGAGTATCACCACACAATTTCAGAAAGCTTAAAGCAGCCACCCTTCTTGTTCTTTAGCCCAGCCTTTTATCCCCATCATGGTTCATGCACTGCACCTGTGTGCCCTCTGCTCCCTTTGGTGGTGGGTCAGTGCCCCTGGGCACTCCAGGGCTCATTGCTGTCAGTGCTGCTCACCTGCTTTCACAGCTGTACCCACTGGGGGTGAGGCTGGGCCCAGCCCCACTCCCAGTTACCACAAACTGTGTACCCACATTTGCACTTCAGAAACCCCAACTCTTCACTGAGACCCCTTTGGTATACTCACTGACCCTGGAACACACACACTAACTTGGTTTCTTTTAATGCTCACTTTAATCTTGCACAGCAGATTATTTGACCTGGGACAGGAGAAACCTTCCCAGTCTTGTCTGGGTGTGTGAGTTAAAACTTAATTCGAGATCCAGTTTGCTGAGGTGAGATAGCTGACTTACTCAGGTGAGGATTTGATGATAAGGTGTTTTAGGTACCAGGTCACAAGATAATTCTGCATTTTCATGTGCTGCCCTTGGGGTTGTGCTACACAGTTTTTGTGTGGTGGTGTGCTGGACCTCCTTTATATGGGATGAAAAACAAAATAACTTTTGCAATTTCTTTGAGTATGCAGGATTGGTTTCCTCATTTGAATCATTGTACAGACCCACAAACAATTGTGCTGGCACAACTAAGGGAACAGCACGCTACATTGCCTGGGCAGGAATGAGTTATAGAGACCAGGAGAAGAAGAAAGCCTGGAAATATGTTGTCTGTGGCAATATCTTCAGCTAAACATATCACCAAACAATAGTCTCCCAAGAGACAGAAGCTCTCCTGAAGCTGGCGTGGTTATTTTGGGATTCTTTTTCAACATGAAGAGCAAGGAATGTGCCCCCAGACACATACAAATGTCTGAAGAGCTGGTAGGACTGAATAAGCACACAGGGTTTTGCACTGGGTGCATTTAGCACAGGTGCCAATTGCTAAGGTTACCTGTGTAAAGCAATGATCTCAACCTGTCAAATTCTAAAAGTGTGCCAAAGCATTGGTATCCTCTGAGTTACATGTATATGGGACTCTTCCAGCAGACAGCTGTGGTGTTGTCAGCTCTTGGAGGGTTTTTTTTTAATAAAGGGCATGCCTAGACATAAGTAAACCTGGGGCATTCCTCCTGCCAACATCACATCTGTTTCTTGCAAACTTTCACAATCCTGCTTTTTAAAATTCTAATTGAAATAACTATGTGCTTTATAGCTGCATCAGCAACCTTTCCTGAAAGAATGCCAGTGTGTAAAATGGTCAGAATTGAAGAAACTAGTTGATTTTTCTTGATGACTGGCTCCTATCTGTGTTCTCCAAGTTTCCCAGAGTCTGTCATTTAGAGTATTTTCATTTCTTTATTGCCCTATTCAAGTACTTTCTACACATGAATTGGCTGACCTTTTTACATTTTGATTTGGGTTTTTTTCCCAGTTATATTGGAGGCACCCATCCTGCAAACTGTTACATGCTTGTTTGGATACTGAATGAGTGCTACTGCTGTAGATTTTCTGATTCAAAGCTGGATCTATGTCCAAATTGTAACAAAATCAGGGCTAATGGAGCTGTTTGGAAACCCATGGAAATACATGACTGTCTACAGGCAGCACTGGGCTTTGTTTTGAGGTCTATGTACACAGTCTGTGTAGGAGTCCTGAGGTTTGTGAATGCTGGCAAGAGGCAGCAGCATTTCAGAATATTCTGGTCTTAAGCCTCACTCTGCTCATTACTCATTATCTTTGTGTTTTTAAGCAGGCTGCAGCTTACCCCACTAGGGAACTTTTGTCCGCATATTCTAAAATTTGGGGTGTTTTGTTATGTGCTTATTTTGGTTTGCTTAGCTTTGGAAGAAAGTTTTGTTTGCCTGTCTCTCTCCCTCCTTTGTCTTTTAAAACGTGCAGTCTGCATGGGACAGTAACTATTTCTTTAATCTTTTGTCTGCATTCAATTAGTTTCCATAATTCCTCCAAACAGTTTTCTAACTTGATTATAAGGTTTTTTTTATTAGACTACCACCATTTTTTTCCTCTGCTAACAAAGGGTTTGATTGCTTGCTTTTCAGATGCTGAGTGAGAATCTAAGAGGAGAAATGACTGTTGTATCCACAGGAGCCAAGATCTCTTTGAGAGATAGCAAGTTTATTCAAGTGATTGCCAAATCTCTAAGTATCAGCAGCAAGGAGGTATATACTTAAATATTTAAAATTGGTATAATGTAAAGCTGTAAACTGAGTTAAATAAGCCTGGATAAAAGATGAACAGCAAAGCTGAAAGAAAATTGGAATATGGAGTTAGGGAGAAAGGACACAATGACAATTCTATAACTAAAATGTTTTTAATTAAAAACATATTAATGTTTTTCCCCCCTCCTTTGTAGCCCCCTCTTGGGATTACTTTCTTGGCTGGCTGGTTGCAATAACAAGCCTCAGACAGATGCTCTAATTCAGGGTATCAATGATATGAAGAATTGCTTTATATTTTTGTGGTCAAATGTATTGACAGTTTGGAGCAATCCAAATAATAATGGGTAAAACAGCTTAATTGTACATGCAGTCATAGAAAGCTGATACTAAGGAAGCATTACACAAGTGTAATTTGTGGTGTGTAGTCCCGCCCAATTAGAAAATATAATATAAATATAAATTAGATCATAAAGTACTGGTTATACAAATACTCACTTTTCTCTTGACTTGGGTTCAGGGAGGATGGGATTTTTATTAACTAATGAATACTGAATGTATTCTTTAATTCTTCTTTAGTAAGCATGAGGAATGGGGAGAATATTTAGGGGCCTAGGAGGCTTGTCAGTGTAGGTTTGAAAGTACAGGTTACACAAATATCTGAGGAATAACATGAATAAAATTGATCCAGTCTTGAAGATATGGTCTTCTCCAATTCCCCCCAGCACTGTTTCTCCTGCTGTACTGATGTGTAGCTATGGCAGTACAGAGATGGCAATTAGTTTGTGCACCTTAAATGGTTTATAAAGATATCAGGTACTTGTAGTGTTGCCAGAGAGGAGTATAAATCTTATGGATGTGTGACTGACAAAATGCACAAGACTTCTTTCCTTCCAAGAACTAAATGCTACCATTTCTAAACATACAGATGACTAATTTGGAACTTTACATGAAAGCAAGGGCAGTGTTTTTATGACTTGGGTGTCAATCGCATTAGAGGCGAGGCTGATATTAAATGTTTAATTTTATTTGTTTTGCAGGAGTTAGAAGCCGTACGAGATGCATTAATTCCACCTTTGGCTTGTGCTGCAGCTAAACTGGGTGACATAGATGCAATAAGAGCCATAGCAGAAATGGTAATGTAGAATGAACAGTGTGTACAAAACATTAATTTTAAAATAAAACTGTAATTGATGATAGGAAGGCATACTCATGGGAAGTGACAGCCTAAGTTTTAGAGTCAAGGTGCTATGACAGTTACAAATGGTTTCTAGACTTCTTGGTCTTTGCCTTTCAGAACTGGTATGTTCTTGTCCCTCTCTGCTTTTTAGCTGTTTACATTTTCTTTTGAACTGTGAAAATACAGGTAGATTAAAATGCAAGTTCTTATCTGCTAACTTTGGAACATTTTAAAATGATTTGTGCTGCTTTCTTTTCGCTTAACTTTCTTTATGCATATTCATAGTATCCACCTTTTGGATGTAAATCTGTCAGGAATAAAAAAAGAACTTGAAAATTATATTTAAGCAAAACATAGTGCAGTGCTAATTCAGATTTCTGTTTCTCCCTAGAGCTCTGACTTGGGTTATACCCAAAGAAAAAACAGGCATTTCCCTGTCATCTCTTTTCTCTTTTTCCCCCTCTTTGCCTTGGTTTACCCTACTATTGAGATTTTGGTAATGGGCCTCAAGAAACGATAAATATATCTTGAAAGTAGGAATTAACTAAGACAAGAACAATTAGCAGTCTACAGGCACAAAACTGCTGTATGGTGTGCTGTAATAAAGAGTATATTTCAGTGGGAAACATGCAGGAGGTGGAATAAATATCTTTATTGGCACTAAAACAATGCTGCAAGATAAACTTTATGTTTGACAGGCTTATTTGGATACTTAATGGACAGGCTTAACAATTTGGTGGCAGAATGAAAATGTGATGTATACATGCTACTGTGTGCCATTTAGAGCAGCTTGATGTGCAGCCATTCTCTTTTTGGCATGTGAAGGATTTGTCCTTTTGTAGGGTGGAAACCTGAGCTGTGGAGACTACGATGGCCGAACTCCCCTGCACATTGCAGCCTCTGAAGGGCACCTGCCCTTAGTTGAGTATTTGTTGATGTCTGGTGCAACTGTTTATGCCAGAGACAGATATGGATCTACCCCTCTGATGAATGCCATCAAGTTCAGGTAACAATTCATGTGCTGCTCCATGTAAGGTTTATAAACCTTCTGTCATTTTGGATTTCGACTCTATCCATCCTGTGCTCTGGTCTTGTGTGGTCTCAGCAGCCATGTGTAAATGACAGCAGTTTAAATAACACATACCAGCTTATTTCAGAGGATGTGACTAGCCTAAATGAAAAGATTTTTTAAAATAATGTGGAATGAAAGCAAACAACTTGTTACGCATGCAGAATTTTAGCATAAGGTAATTATTGCTGTCCTCCTGCCAAGACTTTGTCCGTAATTTCAGGGCTCCACTCTTTATTGTGAAGCTTCCTTATAAAACAGAGCCAAACTGATCACTCCTTTTGATTGTCAGAAGTGAGAGTGCAGGACCATGGGCTGTCTGTTCTCTTTCTGCCCTGCCCTTTCTCATCAAGACCAGACTGTTTCAGTTGGCACAAAATATACCGGTAGGTTGACATGTTTTAATCTTCTCCTTCCACCAGTGCTTTCCTGAGTCTCTTGCTGGATGACTGGTTTTTTGATTTTCCCCTTCCACCCACTCATAATTATATGGGATGGTTGCATGGCTCTGCCTGCTTTGTGGATTTCCTCTTCCTGCTGTTATGAATGTCAGCAGTTCTTGAATGGTAGTCATGGACTTGCTCTTTACTGGTCTTTTCCATGTTATACAGTCCTAAGGAATGGCCATATCACAGAATATAAAAGTTATCAGTAATCAGAATTTAATTTTCTAAGATTTAGTTTGTATAGCCTGGGGATTCATAGAGCCATTGGTCTTCCAGCATGTTAGAAGCTGCACACCATAATCCCTCCTTGTCTTTGATCCACTTTCAGCTCCTTATCTCATATTCAGTCTGTATCATGGCAGGAGAAAAGAGGAGAAAAGCCATTTTTTTCTGTAAAAGAGCTCAGATGGATTGAATTTTCATGGTCTTACTGGGTGAATGTCCTCAGATATTCCTACAGCTTTCTAATGTTGACAAGTTCACCTGGTCTGTCAAGCTGCAGTTAGCTCCCTGGGAGGTCTGGCAGTCCTGGATTACCATGGGCTGCAGGAATAACTTGGAGGCTTCTTCTGTTTGCAGGAGCAGCTGCAGAAGCCCAGCAGCTCCCTGGCTGTGAGCTGGAGGGCGGCGTGGCCGCGCTGTGCTATTGCCATTCCTCCTGCATGGTCCCAAACTGCTCGGTGCCTGCTGCCTTACCTCATGAATATATAAGCTCTGCAGTCTTAAAGCAAAAACAAGCCCAACAGCAAATCAAACAAATAACCTTGGAGTTGAATAGAGGTGGCTCTGGTCCAATGTGAGAAAATGCTAAAGCATTAGATACTATTAGATGTTCCTGCAAATCAGGCACCTACTTCTTTTACCGCACCCATCTACCGCCTGAGGAATTTCACATGAGCTTGTTGTTTGGATTCCTCAGAATTGCCACTCCTATATTAGACTCCTACTATGACTCTTAAGCTCTTTAAAAACTGCACACCCATTTTGATGCAGGGAATTGTAAAAGGAAACTGCACCATAACCGTTTTCAGTTTCTCTTTTTGTTTCTACTGTTGGAATGAGAGGAAGAGTTGACTTAGAACTAATCTCATAAATGTGTATTTATGATCTGAGTACTCACACTGCATTTCACACTGGTAAGCATATAAAGGAGAATGCTAAAGAGCAGACAGCTGTATATGTGTGTAATTAGATACCCACTAAAAAGATTTCTGCTACAGAAGTATTTAAATTCTATTTATTAAACACTTGCAAGCTGAAAGTGAAGAGATTATCCTGATAGAAAGTGGCAGAGAGGGAAGGGGGGGAAACTGATGATAATGAGTAGTCAATGCTTTAAACTGTTTAATATTGTAACTTTCTCAATTTTACTGAACATTGCATCAGCTTAATCCCATTTTCTGAGAATTAATATTTGTTTAATTGGCATTTAACTGCAATACAGTATCCACTTATCTTAAAAATAGCTTTCTTCCAGTCTTTTATGTAACATTTCTCAGTGGCTTGCCTTTTAACCAGCATGCAAACCTGTATAATGATGACTGATTTCTCTCTTCCATTTATTAATTTGTAAAAATGACCAGGAGTTATGTCTCTTCTTAAAAGCTTCTTAACATAGCACTGTCAGCTGATAGACCAGTGACTTGATTTATGTCAATGATAGTCTCTTACATTTTTTGACTTGAAGTGACTCTTTCTTTGTTTCTTGCTAAATAAAAAAATAAACTACTGCATTTCCGCTTTTTAATTTGTAACTGCAATTTGCCTGTAGTCTCTCTCACTTTATGCATGAGGCTAAACAGACCACTGTTAATCTAGGCCAGTTGTTTGACATATCAAAATAAGTAGCATTCCTTTAATTTCTTACAGCACCCTCAAGGGATAATTAATTTTCAAAACAATAGAATAATATTTTTTTTAATAACAGAAACTCTCTCAGCAGGAAAATGTCTTGAATAAAAATTGTGTATATTTTAAGTAGTAAAAGTGCTTCCATTTACTTGTAGAGCAGTGGTAAAAGGTTGAAAATGGGGAGTTGCTCATATAGTGCTGTGAGAACATCAGATTAGAGGTAGTAAAATTACCTCCCACGTAAATATGAATTTAAATACTTGATATTTTGAAAGGTTACATTTACATTACTTCAGGAAATCTAAGGCAGAGAGAAAATCTATCTACCATTGACTCCAAGAAGCACACTGCAGCCTGTCCTTGCAGTGTTTGAGCACAAAATACCCACTGATACCGTGCAGAAAACCAAATAAGTGAAACTAAGCTGATCCTGCCATAACCATTCTGGTTGCTAGGGGAGCAAGCATGAAAAAGAATGAAGCCAGTCAAGTTTGGATCTACATTACACCTGCATTTCTTTAAGGAGAGTTGGTGGAAGGTGTGCAGCCTAAGGCCCCAGTCCTGCAAACTCTTACATGTGTGTTAATTTCACATGTATGATTCATCCCTTTTGAAGTCAATTCACTTTTAATAAGTGTCTGCCAGGTGAGGGCCTGGCATGACAGGTACTGCACAGAACCTGGATTCCTGTGAATCCAGAGCCCTCAAGAACTGGTTAGGGTGTGGATGTCTTTACCTGGAACTCAAACTTTGCTCATAGTGCTGAATGTTGAAGACTGCACCAAATCAGATATTCTGCTACAAATATATTAAAAATAGTAGCATACACTTGAGTTTTAATGTCCAGTGTTATGAACAATGGAACCTAACAGGTAGGAGATAGTAGAAACACCTTTTGCCTTCTTGTTTTTTCCTTCAGAGAGGGATGAATAACTGATACTACTAAAAAGCTGTCTCAAGTAACATATGCAGAATAACATTGTTTCTACAGCCTGTGTCTGACCAAGAGCCACGGTTTGGTGACAGAACACAGTAAGAAAAGGGAGGGTCAGGAACAGCTCACAGGTGACAATGTTAAGCATTTGTTTTTTGCTAAGCATTATCAGGTGAGGCTAAAATGAGCATGAAGCTGTGCAAGCCAGGGCTGACATGGGGAGGTTGCCATCTCTCTGCACCTTGAGCTTTGACTGTCCAGCAGTTCTGTTCTTGGTTTTGTGCTGTCACCTTAGAAAAGGAATTGCATTTGATCCGTTCCCAAGAAGTTCATGGCTCATGACATCACCTGAACTTCAGATCAGCTCACCTGTGACCCTTGTGCGGCTTTTGTAAAGCCACAGGAGAGCAGCCCTTCAAGAAACAATTTCTAAAGACAAATACCTCTCCTGTGCCTAAGACATAACAGTATCAGAAAATTCACAGCCAGGCTCTTGAGATATGAGCAGTGCCCTGGTGGTGGGTGCAGGAGAGCAGAAGTGGTGCTCAGGAGAGGCTGAGCTTTGCTCAGAATGTCGATGGCGCTCGGTGCAGGCAGGAACACGCTGCAGAGCCTTCCCTCCCACATACTTGCCATGCTGAGTGGTGGGAATGTCACAGTGGTCTGTTTGCTTTCTTGGGCTTCACAGCCTCACTTCTAAATCTGACGCTTTGGAACTTTGCATTGCTGTTTGTCCCTAGTCTTCCTTCCCTTGCCCTGTCTCTAACAAGCAGTAATGCACAGCACTTCTTCCCATTTTTCCAAGAAATGTGACTTTGAATGATTCATCAGGACATTGTACTTCTGTTTAGAAATGCTTTATTGTAAGCATTTATTGTAAACACTATCAGTTACAATGCTTACAAACTTAATTTATTTCAAACTACTTTTATTTTTTCCTTGTTTAAATTTACTGTTTAAATTAAATGAGTGGGGTAAATGATCCCAAATCTGTCTGTACCAGATTTTTACAGAGCCCCACTCAGAGCAGGAATGGCTGTGGGGTGTGAAGGGCTGTCTGGAGAGATTCTTCCTACCAGTAAGGAGTAAATAGTTACAACAGAAAGAGAAAATGTCTTTTTGCTGGTATCTAGAGTCCTCACAGGTGGAGAACATTGAGGGAAGATACCACACATTACATGCTTTGCAGCCTTTTATCTTTTAGTGCTGTCCCATAGCAAAGCTTTTGTTTTAAAAAATGCTCATTTCATGCTGAGATTTCCTGTATAAGGTGAAAATGAAGAACACTCCAGGGCAGTCCTTGGAGAGTAAACAGACACTCCCCATGTTCTGTTCAGTACCCAGTGAGAGCCTGAGTGAACAGACATGTTCTACTTTAATCTATTTCAGGTCAAATTTCATTTCAGCTAATTACTGTTTGGATTAAGACTAAAAACTAAAAAATTCATCCATGTAGAATTCAGGCCTTACCATGGATTGAGGAGTAGGAGAGGATGCCATTGTTTGCTGGCTCAAGGAGATGCTTGTGGATGACGAGCTGTGTCGTAAGGGACCCACCTGAGAAAATATTTTGGATAACTGAGCACACTTGAGGCATGGGCTGTCCCAGAAATGCTTTGCTATGAAGCAAAGGAAGATTTTATTTTTTTTTTTGGCTGTCAACTGGAACAAAGTGTAATTTAAAAAAAATAAAATCAGTCTCCTAGGGTCAATAACCTGTGTTTGGAAAGGTGAGATGATTCCTATAGCACATGCACAGTTCTTTGGTTAGTTTAGAAGCTAAAGCTCTTATACAGAACATATAAGCTTACATAGGCTTTATATGGATAACTGTAAAGTAACTTCTGATTGAAGATGGAGTTTCCTAAAAACAGGCAGAGGGATTAGATAAGTAGTTTAGTCCAATTCAAAAATGGAAAGGCCCGTGGCTACCACCAAGTGATTAAGCAGAAAGTGTATGTGATCTTATTTTTAATTTTTAATTACTACAGATGATCTTTTAGTTTATTGGTTGGAAAAACTCATGTATTTCCTATTAAATGATAAGCCTACCTCTTTATTTTGAAGTGTTATATTATAGCAATTTACTTAAAATAGGAACTGTGAAACTATTCCAGATCTACTGGGTCATCATGCTCTTTCTGGAGGAAAAAAACCTGTGTTTTAAATTGTAAACTAGATCAGTTGTTCAACACAGAAGCATTCTGTCATCTCCTTTTTAAACCTAGTTCTAAACCTTCCACTAGGTTAGTTATGAAAAATGTATTTTGCAGATTTTTTACTTGTCATTTTCTACCCACAATAGTACCTTTAGAGAGCAGCCTTTCCACAGAGTTTCTTAAGCATCTGACTAAGATGTAGGTGTTGGCTGGCGATGCCATTTGTCCCTTTTTCTCAAAGGAAAGGACAAGGAAGACCTCCTAAAATCTCCAGGTAGAAATCAATAATAAATGTATTGGGGGGAGGAAGTTAGGAAAATATGTGTTTTTTACAGAGGGTCATAAGAATACTTGCCATCATTTTGAATCCCTAAAAATCTGATTAGCTTCTCCATTAACATAAAGATTCATGGCTTATCTGCAAGACACAATGTTTATTTAGGACTGATATGTATAGGCATTGTATTCTTTAAAATACAGGAATGATGCTATGTAATAAATATTCTGCCTATTTGCATGTATTTCAGTTACTAATATTTCTATTGTTAAATTAAACTAGCTCTAAGGTTAAAACACTAAGAACTCTTGGAAGAGAAGGGCGTGCATCCCTTTCCTTTTCAGAGCTGAACTTAACACTTCCTTGAGCTCAGTGTGTGTGAATGAGTTTTTGAGAGGGAGGGAAGCTCTGTCTACTGCATCTGTCACCTTGGAAAAGATTCATTGATTCTGTGATTGTGGAAAGGAGAATGTGAGAACTTTCCCGGACTGTTTGTGTATATGACAATGTTGGATTCAGGGGGAAAATGTCACTTTCAAGGTCAAGTCACTTTCTCATTTTTTTCTATTCCTTTCATAAAGGCACTTCTCAGTGATTAACTTGTTACGAGAAACTGGAGCACACCTGTCAAGCCATGACTTGGAGGATGTTGGAACAATTCTCTGCAGGTAAATGTGATCTGTGAGGTGGCCCTAAAAGGGATGTGGAGTGGGATGGTTTTTCAGAGGAGACTCCAAAATGAAGCACTTACAATAAACAGTTGGTTCCTGGCACATGAGGGAGTTCTTTCTGTGATAGATGAATAATAAGGCAACAAGGGAAGGGATGAAATGAAGAATCAACTCTGTTTCAAAGCACCAGTAACTCAAGAGAGTTCCAAAGGAGAGAGGATTGTGGGGATAAGTGAACTGGAAGCAAATATCCCATTTTCCCCAAAGTCTCTTATTGAGGAGGAATGGTGAAAAGAAGCTCTTCAAGGTGTGATTTTCTAATATCTCTCTTTAAAAATAAAGCTGCACAAATCATCATTTTTATTGTCCTAAAACCCAGTTTTCACTTACTTTGGAATGGCTTCTATTCTAGTTAGTACATTGTATTGTTCTTAAAAATAACCAAATCAAATAGACAAATAGGTTTAACCCCAAAACTTGTGAACTGCTGCTCACCATCACTATAGTTAATTTTAAGAGGATAAAATTCTCTTAGAGCTGGCTTTCCATACAGTTCCTTTCAATATATAGCAATGTGGATATGTGTTATAAAATTAAATAGATGTTAGATTTCATTTTTTCCAGTACTGGTCCTGAATTACAAATGACTCTGAAAATTGTGAGAAAGTTCCATGTATTTCCAAAAATTACTTGTAATTTTTACTTAATTTCCTCTTCTCTCTTCTTTTGTAAAACAAACATAAAACCCCTGAGCACTGGCCTCTATATCAGGACTTGGCAGGAAATCATGGGACTTGCAGGGACTGGTCGGTGCTGTAATAATGTCCACCAAACAAGGTCAAGGTGAAGCTGATGTGTGTTCTGTGTGGAGACTGGACTCTGTCCTTTGAGTAATTCTGGAATTAAAGATCACTGTCTGGAGTGTTTCCATTGTCATAACATGCTCAGAGGAGACTGGGTAAAAAAGACTTACCATAGAGTCAAAATATGCACTTCACAGGGCACTGCAAGTGACAGAACAGAATTAAACCCTTGGTTTGTGCAGTTTGCCTCTGCCAAAAAAGGTTTAGGGAATGACATTTCTCTGCAAATAAACTGGCCTCTTTCTCGTGGCACGTGCAGAACCAGTTTGGCTAGCTGACCTGGCAGTAATATGTCCAAAACAAACAAAAAAAAAAAATACAAACCAAGAAGAGGAAAAGGGTTCTTCACACAAAATAACAAAATGGGGTTCTCATGCAGTTTGTTACAGCTTTTTAGGGATCATTGTGCACCTGGATCTGTATGGCCTGTCCCAGCAGCAGAGCCATGCTGAAGTGGCTGCTCATTCCCTGCTCCTGCAGAGCTGCAGCTCTTCATTTGCTCTGCTGTTTAGAGGCTCTGGCATACTCATTTCTAACAAAGTGGACTTTTTACACTGTGCTACTCAGCTGTTACTAAATCTGAGGTGTTGGTGTTTGTCTCTGATATTTCCAGAGTGTCCTCAAGTGACCTTAGTGATACACTCATTTTTCCAGCATGCTCTGGCTCACTTTTCTGTCCTCTCTCTTGTTTTAAGCCCCTCTTTGCAGGCACTGGCACCTTCATGGCACAGCTTGAACATGGCCACATGGTCAAGCTGTTTACAGAGCCAGCTGTTTATAACATCTCCCTCCTGTCTAATTTGAACTATTTTCCTATGTTTCTTCTATCTTGTAATGTGCCTTAAGCTGCAATTTCTACAAGTCTGAATTTGTCACCAAGGCAATATGTCAAGTTCTTGGGGTTTAGAAGGATAAAGCTGCTTGCTTTCTGATAAGCTCAGTGTTTCTGCAGTTACCTGACTTAACTTTTCCCCCATGCAGTTCTCTGTGAATTAAACTGTAAGCATGTTTTTCCTCTGCTCCTACCAATGCTCAAACAGACTGTTATGAAAGACCATGAATAGTCTCCTCAGCCTCCTTCTGTTTAGACTCATGATTGTAGAGTAGAGCAGAATAGAATAGAATAGAATAGAATAGAATAGAATAGAATAGAATAGAATAGAATAGAATAGAATAGAATAGTTCACTTGGAAGGCTATGGAGATAAAATGAAAATAAACGTGTTCCTTTGGCACTGGTGATGTTTGAGAGAGCAAAGGAGTACCAGCCAAAACTGAGGGTTGAGAGTATCAGTGGGAACTCTTGTGTAGGAAGTGGAGATGCACATAGTTATTAAATCTTTCATGGTTTCATTTGCTGGTGTCTTTTTTAAAGTGAGAGGTGTTAATCTGGTTTTAGAATCACTTTGTTGATGTTTGGTATCTGGTTCAAGGCTTTGTTTGGAAATGAGATCTCAATGTTAGTAATCTGTTAAAAATGTCAGAATATCTTCTCATATTGCAGTAATATTGTCATTTGTCTGAAAAACCAAACCATGATGAGATAAATTGGGACACTCTTATTCTGAAAGCTTCTGGACTTCTGGAGTTGGTAAACAGTTGATGTGTGTTTGTTTTTTAAAGGGAAAAAAGCTTGTGTAGAATTGAGGTATTTCACAAAATTAAACAGGGGCACAAAGCCAAACCAGCTTTCTCATATTCTTAGATTTCATAAAATGATATGTATATTATGATATATATAAAGATAGAGCCTTTCAAAATCACCACCTTTCAGAATAAGAGGCCTCTTCAATTTAACAGAAAGAGGGGGTAAGCTGGGGAAGGAAGGGTAAATATCCCTCTGCAGGATAAGGAGCAAGCTTCTACTGCTTGCTGTTTTTCAGAGAAGTCAGTCTGAGCTGAGAGAGGTGTGGAGACACAAGCTAAGAACAGCACTCCCAAATCTGTTCAGGACACAGCAATCCATGCCTTGTGCTGGACTTTTTTTTTTTTTTTCCCCTTTGGATCTTCATCTTAAAAGGAAAAAAAAGAAGAAAAAGATTTTTCTCTTCTGTCAGGTTTATGACGTACCTGAAAAAAAGAAAGTCTGTTCTGATTACTTTATATAGGCATGGGAAAAGGAGAATTGCTGATAAAGCACAGCACTGTGTCCCAGGGAAGGATGAAATCCCAGTACATGAAGGGGCAGGAAGGAACCCAAGGTGTATTTCACTGTACTTATTACTTCCCAAATGTACAACTACACTAGTCCTTGTCCTTATAAACCCTCTGAGCCCTGACAAGCTTTGCTCCTGGTCCCCTGACAGGAACAGAGCACCCCTTAAAATGCAGCTTTTGGTGTGACTGTAGGCACAGACAGCACTGTCACTGTTCTTGATCTTAGCTCTGTCATCATCATGGTACATTAGCCCTGCTGAAACTGTGAACTGGATACATAATCATTTTTCTGAATGCAAGAGTAGTGATAGGCAGGATGCCTGGGATTATCAGCTGTTAAAGGTATCAGAGTTTAGTAAACTGTGGTAGATAGTTCTTTATCAACAAAGCAGGTTTTAAACATCATGGGAAGTGTATATTGAAGATATCTTTGTTCCATTCCATTAGTTACCAGTGATAGACTTGCTGCTTGGAGGTTGCACTTGTAGCTGGGATTGCTGGCATAAATATCTGTGAGACAAATACAGAGTCAGGGTTCCTGTAGTGTAAATT